CTTTATATATTAATAGATAGATTTGCATCTTACAGTTTTATAGTTTGTTTATCATACTATGCAACAGAAATGTAATTTACAATAAGGAAATAAGTGACATAAAAATTTCATTTTTAGATTATTGTATATTTAATATATTTTTACGAGAATAGATTGTTACCAAAAAAACTGAATTGAATATTGCCATCAAAATCTCGCGATTTTAAACAATAATATCTCACGTGCTTTTTACAATATATTACATAAATGCTCTTATTTTTATTCCATAACAATTTATTTGAAATTAATTCACCAAATCTTGGTAATTTTTGTAAATATAAAAGAATCTACAATTCGATCTGAAATTGTTTAACCAAAATATCGAAAAATTTGGCATGTCAATCTATGTGCGGGGAAATTTAATTGATATCAATTAATTGTATATGTATTTGTCATGTGAATTTTGTTGATATAAAATTAGAACATTTTATAGAGTAAAAGATAAGGACAAATACGATGTAAAAGATAAAGAATCATGGGATTCTTTTTTATTTGAATTATTCAAATCAAAATTTGAGTCAAGATTTGTGGATTGATACGTCTACAAACAAATTAGTTGGAGTGAATAACAAACCTAATCGATATTATTAAGAGATGTTCAAGCCATTATTTCTTTATATAAAAATGATATTATTTATTGAACAAATATATAGTCCAATATTATATAGAATTGCATATTATTAGTTAACAAATTATGTTTTTCAAAAAATTAAGGGATCTTATTTATTAAACAAAATTTTATGAAGGAAAATTTAAAGATTTTCAGGGATTTTCACGCCATTTTATTTTATTTTTTTATTAAATTCTAATTCAGAAATTTGATTAAGAAAATTATAAAAGAATCATTAGATTTTCTTAAAAAAGAAACAGAATTTTCCTACCAATACACCGATTTTCTTACCAAACATATTAATCTAAACAAAGTGAAAAGAATCACCACTTTTTCCTAAAAATGCAATCGAATTTTCGTAACATTGAACGATTTTTTTACCAAACAAATTCAATTGAACCATGAGACAAGATCTTCTTTCTAAAGAGAAAATTAATTCTAATAAAAATTTGGAATAGTTTGTTAAGATTTATGCAACTGTTTTTTCCCTATTAAAATGATATGAACTTGACCAAAAAAATTGATATGAACTTACCAAAATCTCGGTAAAACATGGTTAAGGAAAAACATAAAGATTCAAAAAAATCGGTGCATTCAAATTTTGAAAAGTTGCACAATATTTTGAAATTAATTTGAATTTTATTTTCCCTAAATCATTGGATAAGGTTTGACTTTAAAAATCAAAGGTGAACTTATTTTGTTACCAAAAAATGTGAATACGATTTGAATGTATGTTCCGTTCAAATCTCAATTTTGTTTAAAAATAAAAATTACACGTGGTTTTATTTGCACACTTTTTTGAAACAAAAAATTATTTGAAAAGACTGGAAGAATTTCTTAAGAATTATACAGCTATTTCTTTCCTAAATTTGTATTCAATTTTCACGGTTTTTAAATTAATTTGTATTATGAATTTTTTTCATAAATAATTGACACATTTTTTGGCATAAGAATCTTCAAATTTGTTACCAAAAAACACAGAATTCAAAATTTGGGAAACAAAATAAAAAATGATATGAAAAAACTTGGATTAAAATTTTGAAATAAGATCTCAAAATATGTTACAAAAAAAAAAGGATTTTAAATTTTGTTACTAAATAGTTGGAATAAAAATAG